TGTTTTTTCTTCTAACCAAGAAAATGATGCCATACATATGGTTCCTTCTTGTACAAATAAGTCTTTAGAAAAAATAGAAAACTATGGTACTTGAGATCTTCCAAAAGGGTATAGATTAACGTAAGCATTTCAGGATATATGAGGAAAATAAGAGAAAGATGGGAACTATGTAGCATGGCAAGGAGGTATAAAAAAGCAAGTTACTGTTTACCACTTTATGTACATCTATAAAAAAGAATGAAGATATTTAAGTACCTATATGACTCCCATGTAACAAAACCAAAAAAGAGAGAACCATTTAAAGGAAAATTCTGAATGGTTAAATGATGTGAGCTTTCTTTTGCAGTTTGGTATGATGGGTTGAATCATGTATCCCCAAGATTCATGTTGAAACTAACCCCCTTATACCCTAAAATGTGAATGTATATTTGATGAAAGGGTCTTTTAAGAGATAATTAAGGTAAAATGAGGTCACATGGGTGAGCCCTAATCCAATCTGTCTTGTGTCCTTATAAGAGGAAGAAATCTGGTGGGGCACACAACAGAGACAGCAGGGATGTGCATACACAGAAGAAAGGTTATGTGAAGACACAGCAAGAAAGTGGCGGCTGCCTCCAAGGCAAGGAGGAAGGCCTCAAGAGAAGCCAAACCCACTAATACCTTGCTCTTGGGTTCCTAGACTTAGGAACTATGAGAAAATAATGTTTCTGTTGTTTAAGCCACCCAGTATGTGGTATTTTGTATGGCAGCCCTCACAAACTATTACAGATGGTACAGAGAATTAAATATATTTCATATGCTGAGGCAAAGTCCCTAATGACTGTCAATAATTATTATTTATAATTTGGAAATAAAGCAAGAATTTAGAATAAATATCAAGCTAATGAGAAAAAAGATAAAAGAATTTAGAGAAAAGTATCCAGATCTTTGGAAATTCATGATATGCCATTTAAATTTACAATGACTAATTATAAGGATTCCATTATTTGCAAAAGATGCAATAGTTTGGGGTTTCAGAAACACCCAAATTTTAGAAATAAATTTAAAATAGTTTCTATTTATCTAGTTTCAGAGTGCACAATATACCCTGCACCTAATTTAGGTCGTCACCATACGTGAAATATAAGAATACAATCAAGGGAAGTGCAGCATGCCACATGCAATGAAATGCTGAACCTACCATATTAACAACACTTTTTATTAATTTTTCATCCGATTTTCCAGGGCAACTTTCTTTTATCTTTATAACTGGTACATCCATTATTTTAATAGTCTGGAAAAGAGACTTAAGTATGAGATTAAAACTAAAAATTACTTATATCCTAATGGAAGAAAAACAGCCTTTTTAAAAAGTTAAAAACTTAAAAGTCCATACCTTTAAGGCTTTTATAAGTTCTTCTTGTTTTCCAGCTTCTTGAACCAATACTACTCTTGTTTCAACCTGAGGCATTTCTTCTATTAAAATTAAAATGTTTAAATATATTTATCAGGAATTAACATCAAAATCAGTAGTTCCTATTCCCATTTTTTGTTATATCTACTATATTTTCCATCTTTTTTATCATAATATTCTCTAAAATTGAAATTACTTATTCCCAGCTTATTAAAAAATATTTTGACCACATTCCATTTTAAGGGAGAGCATATATACAAACATCTACACTCCTCCTAACCAAAGAAAGCATTCCGTATCTTGTACAATCATCTTCATCAACAGTGCACTCAAATTTAGGAAAGAACCATTTACATAGTGAGGTAAGGGAAGAAGTCTCTTCACCTAACCAGACATAACTGAATACAAACTAGCTAACACTGTTGCAGCTAGATGCCCTCACATACAGAAAAAGCAATATCCAATATGACTTCCCCTTCAAGGTTGGGAAGCATTAATCCATACAATAAAAAGTGAAGGGGGGGGGGTGTCATTGAGGGTTAGGGGACAGGAGAGTTCTATAATACTTTCAACAATAAAGATAATTTTTTTAAATCTATGTAAAGATTGTCAACAAATATTTACTGAATACATGTATTCTAACTTAGCAGTGTTACAGTTAAATGATAACAAGTCTCTAGTCAATAAGTTTAGTATTAAAATAGTGATTTGCAGTTTTAAAGCACATTTACCTTCAACATACAAAGTTGGTTCATTAAGTAAGTTGTCCTTAGAAGTTTCAGTAACTTTAGAATCAAAAATGGAAGAGTCTGCCAAGCTTGTCCTCCCAGTATATGTTAGTACACTATTGTCAGCCATTGCTTGTACTCTTCTAAGTTCACTAAAAAAGAATAAATTTGAATAAGGATACATGAAACAAACAGGATCTTTGGGCAAACTCTGCTTTTATACTAGAGTTTATAAAAAGCATCAGCAAAAGGAAAAAAAAAAAGTTTTTAAGTAAATAAAAATAGCCCTAACTGGTTTGGCTCAGTGCATAGAGTGTCGGCCTGCGGACTAAAAGGTCCTGAGTTTGATTCCAGTCACAGGCATGTACCTTGGTTGCCTGGTTGCTGGTGCATCCCCAGTAGGAGGTGTGCAAGAGGCAGCTGATAGATATTTCTCTCATCGATGTTTCTAGCTCTCTATCCCTCTCTCTTCCTCTCTGTAAAAAATCAATAAAAAATATTTTCAAAAAAAATAATAAAAAATAAAAGGATAAAAAGCATCAGCACCCATTTTTCTTAATAATATATTGAACCAAAGAAAGTTCACTCAACGAATCTGAACCTCTGTTTTCCTCTTCTATAACATAAATACACCAATACCTGACTCAGTAGACTATGTTACAAATAATCCAAAGTACTCAGGCAGGGCGGTTGGGCATCGTCCTAGGAACCAGGGGGGGTCAGGGTTTGATTCCAGCACATGCACTATACCAGTAGGGGGCGCTGCAAGAAGCAACCCATCAATGATTCTCATCAGTGATGTTTTTCTCTCCCTTCTTCTCAGAAAACAAAATATGTATTTTGCCAAAACCGGCTTGGCTCAGTGGATAGAGCGGTCAGCCTGCGGACTGAAAGGTCCAGGGTTCGATTCAAATCAAGGGCATGTACCTTGGTTGCAGGCACATCCCCAGTAGGGGGTGTGCAAGAGGCAGCTGATTGATGATTCTCTCTCATGGATGTTTCTAACTCTCTAGCCCTCTCTTCCTCTCTGTAAAAAATAATCAATAAAATATATTAAAAATAAATAAATAAAATTGCTCTAAAAATAAATTTTTTTAAATGTTATTTTTTTTAATTGTCATTTAACCAAAATATTCACTTTCGGTTTCTTTTTGGTATTGAGGCAATCATCTTTCCGGGTGGGGGAGCTAAATGCAATACCGGGGTATGTCATTGGTGTAACTGACAACTTTAATAATACTGAGACCATTACAGAACACATCATGATGAACAAGATTTATTTAACCCTTAAATGTGTGGCAGGCAGTGCGTTAAAGCCTTTTTGCTTGTGTTTATTTAGTATGGACAACAATCCCAAGAGACGGGCAAGGTTACTGTTTCCAGCTGATAAAGCAGCCTAGAACAACAAAAAGAAACCCATAACAGAAAGGTTAAGTAACTCTCCTCCCCCAACCCCCAGGTCACAACGTTAGTGGTAAACCTGGGGTTCAAACCCGGGCTCAACAGAGACTGCGCTCTTAACCACTGAGCCACACAGATCTGCCCCGAAGAGGACTGGGCGCACGGACCCGGTTGGGGTTGGGGTTGGGGATGGGGGCGAGGTAGAGGGGAGGCGGATGGGGCGGGATGGGGGCGCTGGCGTTTTCTGCACAAACTGCCCACCGATGGGCCGGCCATGCACTATATACCAGTAGGGGGCGCTGCAAGAAGCAGCCGATCAATGATTCTCATCAGTGATGTTTCTCTTTCTCCCTTCCTCTCTGAAAACAATAAAAATATAGTATATGTATTTTTTTAAAAAAATTGTCATTGAACCAGAATATTCACTTTCGGTTTCTTTTTCGTTTTGAGGCAATCATCTTTTTCGGAGGAATCCTGGAGCGAAACCACTGCGTCCGAGATGAGAGCACCGAGGGGGGAGCGCCGGGCCCGCCGCCGCCGCCGCGGAGGCCGGGGAGCCCGGCCACGGCCCCTTCCCACCCCGCCCCCTCCCTGCCTCCCTCCCTCCACCCACGGGCTCTCCGGGGACAAACAGCCAGCCTGGGGAGCGGCGGCGAAGACACAGCCACCCGGCGGGCCTCGGCTCCCACCCCCGCGCCCCGCCCGCCCGCCCGCCCGGCGCCGGGAGAGCGGCGGTGCAGGTCCCGGACCCGGACCCGGACCCGGCAGCGGCGCCCGGAACTGGCGGTCCCCGGGGCGGGGCCGCCGGACCTCTGCCCACGGCTCCCGGGCCGCGAGCGCACGCCCACGCCCCCGCTCACACCCGGAGGCCTCACCGCTCTCACAAAGCGCCCTCCTGCCGGCGCCGCTGCTTCACACGCCGGCTCCTTCCACCGTTACCGCCATTCCTCCTCGCAGGAGGCAGCCACCGCCGATTCAAAAAAGCGAGCCGCTCTCTCCCTAAAAGCCATGCCGATTGGCGCGTGGTGTCAGCCCCTTTCCCATAGGCTGGCGCCTCCGGAGGGGCGGGGGTTGGCCACGGCCCTCCGCCCCTGATTGGTGGAGCCTGTGTTTCAAATGAACCCAACGTCTCCGACGACGCCGGGGGACGTCAGAGGTTTTGGAGAGAAGTGCCCGGATGTGGCCAGCAGGTGGCGCTGGTGCGTCCTGGGCGCCCCGGAGAGTAGCAGGTGTGTCTGTGGCGACCCGCTTTGTTTACTTTGTAAACAGCCGGTTTCCTGGGGAAAGTTAGAGCGGATCCGCCTCTCCTACAGCTATTTTTTTCTTTTTTCTCTAGACTCTAGGGGCCTAGAGCCACCAAATCCTCTAAAGCAGTGGTCGGCAAGCTGCGGTTCGGGAGCCACATGCGGCTCTTTGGCACATTGAGTGTGGCTCTTTCACAAAGTATTTTGAAGTTGTAGCGTTAGAAGAAGTTTTAAGTTTAAAAAATGTGGCTCTCGAAAGAAATATCAGTCGTACTGTTGATATTTGGCTCTGTTGACTAATGAGTTTGCCGACCACTGCATAGTCTAAAGGAAATCAGTGCTTCCATAGGTGATTTCCCCACACACACACACACACACACCTCTATCCGGACCGATTGCTGTGATCTGGAAGTTTTCTGCCCGAAGGCTTTCTGCTCTGGCTGTTGGGCGGGAGGTGTGCTCACAGCAGGGACCAGGACAGGATACCTGCAGGTGCATTTTTTAAATCAGCAGTCCGTTTTCTTTAAACTCTGATGTAAAGCACTGGACTCCGGTCTAGGGAATTTCGTGGATGATTAGAATAAGTTCCCTAATATGTCCTGGGCTTTTATTTTCTTAATATAATCTTGAACAAATGTAAGAATATGTCTGGAGATTCTGGAATCTCCTGGAGCCAAAATAAATTGCTTCCTGATGCCTTGTCCCCACCCCCACCATCAGATCTCTTGTTACTTTCCTCTAAAGTCTAGCCAAAAAATTTGTCATTTTAACAGTAATAACTATTGTTATTATGAAACCAGAGATTGTTTTCTGCATTCTCTGAATACAATACCTTATCTCAGTGGTCAGCAAACTCATTAATCAACAGAGCCAAATATCAACAGTACGATTGAAATTTCTTTTGAGAGCCAAATTTTTTAAACGTAAACTTCTTCTAACTCCCCTTGTTCAAAATAAACTTGCCCAGGCCGTGGTATTTTGTGGAAGAGCCACACTCAAGGGGCCAAAGAGCCGAGTGTGGCTCGAGAGCCGCAGTTTGCCGACCATGGCCCTATCTAATACTTTATCTTAAGGAAAGTATGCCTTCCCCGGGTGGGTTTTGCATAGTTCCTACCTAATCACTGACTTACACAAAAGAAAGGGGATCCCATTCAGAGGAAGAAGACTTACTTTTGTTACCAATGAGAGGAGGAACCCTGGACTCTTCTGGAGGAAAAGATTTCAATCTAGAGACAAAGTGTAGAAAAAAAAGAAAAAAAGAAAAAAAAAGAAAACAAGAATGTATTGACTGCAGCAAAAATAGACTCAGGTGAGGGAAACAAGGAAGGGCAAAGAAGCTGCAGGGGAGCCTAGGCTGGACTGCCTTAGGTCCCTGGGAAGTCATGGATAGGGGCCTTTGCTTCCCTGGGGGCAGTCTCATGGGATCCCTTAGAGGTTAGGGGATATGTGTGATATAGGGGGAGAGGTTCCTGCGTGCTCCCTGAAGGGAGAGTGCCCTGGGACCCTATTTTCAGGGGTTTTAAAGGGAGCTTTTAGGGGCAGATCAATAGAATATTCATCAGCTTCAGGCTGATGTACCAAAATAAGATTTAGTCTCTCAATTTGTCTGTCCTTGGATGTGGTTGGCAAACACCACTTAATTGGATTTCTGTTATCTGACTCCCTGAATAGGGTGATTTAAGCTATTTATCCTCTGTTTGGGGAGAAATGCAGACCATTTATTCTATTAAAGAAATCTTTATTGTTGAAAGTATTACATATGTCCGTCAAACTGTTTACTTTTAAGTGTCCTTGGTTTAAGGAAGATAGGATTTACTAGGTGGCTGCAACTGCTATTTAACTGTCTGTCTTGGTTTTCCTACTTATTCCCCTCATCCTAGCTTCTTACTATTCCAAAACACTTTTAAATGGAACACTTTTGGCCCTAGCTGGTTTGGCTCAGTGGATAGAGCATAAGCTGGTGGACTGAAGTGTCCGGGTTCAGTTCCAATCAAGGGCACACGCCTGGGTTGCAGCCTCAATCCCCAGTATGGGGTGTGCAGGAGGCAGCCAAGATGGATGGAATCAATAAAAATTAAAAAAAGAAAAAGAAAAAAAATTGAGCACTTCCAAATATCTCAAACAAGTCATGGGGATTTACAATATTTTCTAATTTTGTCAGGACACCTTAGAATATCTAAGAAGCTTATTATGCAATACACGAAAATGAGTGAAGCAGTCTAGTTATTATTGATTTCCCTGTTTATAATTGAAGACTATTTGCAGTCTGCCCTTCATTATAAGCCGGGATAACCATTGTGGCAAAAGAAAAGAAAAACAATAATTGAGGTTTCACTTTGGAATGTGCTTGCATTCTTAAGCGAGGGTGTGCCCAACATTCCAAAAATTCTCATCGCTCTGGTTTGGCTCAGTGGATTTAGAGCTTTGCAGAGGACTGAAGGGTCCTGGGTTCAATTTTGGTCAAAGGCACATAATACCTTGATTGATATCTTCAGGTGAGGATTAACAACAACAACAAAGTCAAAAATTCTCATCACTGAAAATACATTACACCAGTGTGAGCAGCCTATTTTCCTCGTTAGACAGGTTTTGCATCCAAACCTAATGACTGAGCACATAGTATCACTGCACAAGTTGTATGCTAGCTTAACAAAATTCTGCTTGATTCCTCTAAACTTTAGAGTCTAAAGGGATGTGTGTCGGTTTGACTGCCAAATAAACAGGCAGTGCAATCTTATAACATTTCCAAGCCATCTAACCTCAAGCAAGTTACTTAACTTCTGGTGCCTGTTCGTCTGTGTATAAAATGGCATGTTCGTACTGACTCATAAGTTGTTGTGAGGATTAAAAGAGTTCACGTGTGGCCCGGCAGGTGTGGCTTGGTGGTTGAACATCAATTTATGAGCCAGGAGGTCATGGTTCGATTTCTAGTCAGGGCACATGCCTGGGTTGCAGGCTCAATCCCCAGTAGGAGGCATGATGCTTCTATCTCTCCCTCTCTCTTCCTCTCTGAAATCATTAAAAATATATTAAAAAAAAAAAAAAGAGTTAATGTGTATAATTAGAGCATACTCTGACACATAAGCATTCAATAATGTTAGCTATTGATATCACTACTACTTTACTACTGCTGTTCTCTCAAGCTGAGACCCTGTAACCTTTATATATATACATATATATATATATATGTATATGTATATATGTATATATTTTTTTATTGATTTTTTACAGAGAGGAAGGGAGAGAGATAGAGAGGTAGAAACGTCGATGAGAGAGAAACATCGACCAGCTGCCTCTTGCACACCCCCTACCGGGGATGTGCCCACAACCAATGTACATGCCCTTGACCGGAATCGAACCTGGGACCTCTCAGTCCGCAGACCAACGCTCTACCACTGAGCCAAACCAGCTTCGGCAAGAGACCCTGTAACCTTCTAATGGCACCGATGGTTCTCTACATTGCCTTCTCACCCCTGTCCATAGGAGCTATGGTAGCAATGTTTCTGTTCCCTTTGCCTCACCTTACTCCAGCCCCAAGGCATCCCTCTCCCCACCTACCTACCCCCATCAGACCAATCTTGATGCAGAGAAGACCTCCATTGCATCCTTTCCCTACCAGAAGGTGGACAGTCCTGGTTCTCAAATCTAATCTCGCTCTTCTCTTTTAGGGGAACGGCTTGTGTACTCAAGCTCTCTTATCTTGTCTAGCAGACGTGGCTCTTTTCCTGGTGCTCTTGTCCAGGCCGCTGTCCCTTTCCGAGGCAGGTCCTCGCTAAGATTTCTTCTGTTAAATGCTACGCTCCTTCTCCTGGACCCTCCACTGGAAATACAGTCATTGAACTCATATGTCAAGGGGACAAAACTGTTTAAAGTCTAAGCTAGCTAGGTAGATAGATAAATGAAGATGAGAAGTTCCTTGAAAGAATAAACCATTCAGTAAATTCTCAGTGTCATCCACAACTCCTAAGATGCTGAATGAACAGATTTCAGACAAAAGATACTAAAGGAATCGAACTGAATTTCAGTACTTAGTATACTGAAGTGTGTGACATACTTTCCCCGAGCCATAAAATAATTTCTGAGGTGGGGAAAATGAAATGTAAAAGATTGAATTACTGACATTATTCCTTTGGAGTAGGGGTGTCGAACTCAATCAGAGAAGGGGCCAATATCTAAAATCCAGCCTAAATCGCGGGCCGAATGGTTTACTGAACAGTCATAAACTGTCATTGTGATGGAAACGCAGCGGAGTGCAGTGATGACAGCGCGGTGCAGGCCACATTGCAAGGCCTGGCGGGACGGATTTGGCCCGCGGGCCTTGTGTTTGACACATGTGCTTTGGAGGATCAATTTCCCCACCTCCATCGCTGAACTGAGTGACAGGCTGGGACCATCTTTCCTGACTTCCCTCTCACACTTGCTCTTCTTCCAGTTTATTCCCTCCTCTTTATTCATAGTTTCTTTCTTTCCTTCCCTCCGTCCCCATCCATCTCCATCTTCTTTCTTTTATCTATACTCCTTCAGGGCAGCAGAGAATGGAGCATGGGAAAGTTAGTTTGGGGCTATGGACTATCTTTCTCCACCCACCCTCACAAGTGTGCACACTGCCTGTGCAATCACTCTTCAAATCAGAGTGCACAAGATTTCTCACTTTCTAGTGTGTTTGAATCTACTAATATATCTGAAAAATTATTAAGTTTGCTACAATAAATGGACAACTTTATTGTAATGGTTTTTGTTTTAATTATGTAAAATTATGATTAAATATATTGTCTAATGTTATTTCTAAATATGAAATGTTATGTTATCAACCACTATAATAGTATCTATTTTATAATAATTTTAAATGTCTTAAAGGATTAAATGTATTATTGTAACTAAATATTAACACTATAGTCACTCATAGATTTCACATAATTGTTTTTTTTTTTCCCTCTATCACCATTCTTAACCCCTCAAGACATTTAGGAAGTACATAGCCATATATAATGCCACATTAGGTACAATTACAAAGATTCAATCCTAAGAATTTATCACCTAAGATTTTTATTCTAAAATGTTTAATGAATAGCCATGGAATTCTTTTCTATCTTGGAATTATTAACATTTTTTCCAATTAAAATGTCATATTTCCAAGTTGGTTATAATGTAGCATCTTCTAACCTGTCATCTCTGCCTGAAAAACAAGCTTCAGAAATTATAATCACTTTGAGTCAAACGAAGCTATTTTATACACTTCAATAGCCAGTAATTAAGATATGAATCATTGCTTTATTCATATGAACCAATGGGCTATAAATCACTTGACATAGATTTACAAGACTGTACAGATTTAGCACTTTAGGTTTCACAAATAGAATTCACTTTCCTTGATGGAGCAAGAGTTTTCCAAATGTGATGAGGCGATTACTTCAAATTATCTAATTTGATTAGTAAAATTTTAGATGTGGAAAAAGATCGTAGCTCATTAGTCTCATTCATTTTACAGAGGAGTTTTACTAAGGCTAGCAACAGAGAGGTTATAGTCCTTTTCTAAGGTCAGGTTACTAGTTAGTGGCAAAACCAAGATCAAAAGTTTTGTTTTCATTAATCAATTCTGTCTTTTTATTAAAGATATTAATATCTATATTTTACATTATACTTATAAAAGTACCAAGATATTTATTCATAATGCTTATTTTTTTTACCTTTGAAATCACTAAAATGCTTTCAGTTCTCTAAGAGCTTTGTTGATCTTGTTCACCAATGTATTTCCAGCACCTAGCAACGGTTCCTGGTACATAATGTGTTCTCAAGAGTTGCATGAATAGCATTGTAATTGATCTCCAAGAATCTATATCTCCTTTTAATCCATTCTCCAGCCTGCATTCAAAGTGACATTATGCAAATCCTAATTCATCATATCACCACCTGCCTGGTCTGACTATCTACATTTCCAGCTTCATTCCCTCTCTCTCTCTCTCTCTCTCTCTCTCTCTCTCTCTCTCTCTCTCTATATATATATATATATATATATATATATATATATATATATATATATTAGGTCTAGTAATAATTAATGTCGTTTTCTAATACTTTTTTAAGTCAAATTTATTTAAACAATACAACAAAATTTAATCAACAATATAGTTGCCGTTGTTTTCTACTACTTGTGCTCAACGCTCAGGAAGCATTTTAATCCCTCTGTTGTAAAATTCTTGTGATTTTGATGCAAAAAATTCGGTCAATGCATTTTTGAGGCATTCTTCATTATTAAATTTTTTCCAAGAAGAAAGTTTTGCAAAGAACGAAACAAATGGTAATCAGAAGGGGCAATATCAGGAGAATATGCAGGTTGAGGGAGAACTTCCCATTCGAACTGGCGCAGTTTTTCAGCAGTGATTCTTGCAGTATGTGGTCGTGCGTTATCCTGGTGAAGAATTACGCCCTTCCGATTAATCAGTGCGGGTTCTTTTTCTCTTAAAGCTTGGGCTAACCTTTCCAATTGGGCACTATACACTGCACTTGTAATGGTTTGGGTAGATGGTAAAAGTTCATAATGAAGAATTCCTTTAAAATTCCACCAAACACACAACATCACTTTTTTCGCATGCAAGTCAGGTTTTGGCGTGGGCTGCGGAGCCTCATTTTTGTCCAACCATTGAGGCCGCCTTTTCAAATTAACATACAGCACCCATTGTTCATCTCCAGTAACAATTTGCTCTAAAAACGGCAAACGGTTTTGACGAGAGAGGAGCGAACTGCAAATTGTGACTCTGATTACGGTTGTTGTCGGTCAACTCATGAGGAACCCATTTTCCAAACTTTTGGACTTTGCCAAGTGCACGCAATTGATTGGAAATTGTTTTTTGTGAACAATTTAAAGTTGTTGCAAGCTCTTGTTGGGTAATTTGAAGATTTTGCACCAAAAGAGCTTGAAGAGCTTCTTGATCAAAATTGGACACACGGCCTCGACCACTCTTGTCATCTAACAAAAAATTTCCCTCGCGAAATTTCTCAAACCAATGCTGGCATTTTCTGGTGCTAACTGCATCTTGACCAAGAGCACTACAGATGTTTTTTGCAGCCTCACTTGCTTTTCTTCCTAATTGGAACTCGTAAAGCATGCAGTGCCGAATGTGCTCTTCATGCACCATCTTCTTAGCCCTAGTTTTGCAACAAAAACCAAACCAAACACAAACTTTTTCAAGCAAAACTTGTTAATTGCACTTCACACATTCTGTAGATACCACGTGTTTGAAGGTTATGTCAATACAAGTCAACACCAAGCAAGATTTTAAACGAATGTTTAAAAACGACATTAATTATTACTAGACCCGAGATAGATAGATATATATATATATGTGTGTGTGTGTGTGTGTGTGTGTGTGTGTGTGTGTGTGTAGCACTTCACAAATTTGCATGTCATCCTTGCTTAGGGGCCATGCTAATCATCTCTGTATAGTTGCAATTTCAGTATATGTGCTGAGGAAGCAAGCACCACGTTCTCTTGAGTTCTCTACCTGATTCCCTTGTCAAGAATTTTCACACATGCTCTTCTTTTTACCAGTCTCTCTGATTCCCACTCCTTTATCCTATAGTAGACAACTTCTACTCATCCTTTAGCTTTTTTTTCACTTACTACTCCTAGGAAGGTCTTTTCTAACTATCAAAACTGCCATTACACAATACCCAGCACCATGAGTATTTCTTTTTGGTACTCATCAAAGATGTGATTATTGGATTAACGTTTATCTCCTCCACTATATAAACTAGTTGAAAATAGGGAAAACATCTTTTTATCAAACATTCCTTCCACAGTGCCTAACACATAAAAGGTACTCAATTAAATATTTGTTGGAATACAATTGAATACATTAATGAATGAATTTACTTATTTTTATTATAATACTAGAGGCCCGGAGCATGAAATTCATGCACAGGTAGGGTGCCTAGGCCGATTGGCAATCAGGGTCAATTGGGGCCTTCCAGCTGCCAGCCAGGGCATTCCTTTCTATTGCTGTCCAGGGCTTCCCTTCCCTGACTGCCAGCTGCCAGCCAGGTCCTTCCTTCATTCCATGGTGGTCAGCACACGTCATAGCGAGTGATCCAACTCCTAGTCTCCCAGTCTCCCGGCTGAACTCTTTAACTGCTCCCCTGATGGTCTGATTGCCCCTAACTGCCCTCTCCTGCCGGCCTGATCGCCCTTAACCGCCTCTGCCTCAGCCCCTGCCACAATGGCTTTGTCTAGAAGGATGTCTGGTCTAGTTAACATATTACCCTTTTATTAGTATAGACTAGAAACTCAATGCATGAAATTTGTGAAAGGGGCTTGGCCCTCAGCCATGGCGGCTTGCCTCAGCTCTCACAGCCCCTGCTTCGGTCTAATTAGCGATGTTATGCTTTTATTATTATGGATAATATTAGTGGTGCTTTGCCCAAAGATACTAAAGCTCGGCTGGTGTGGCTCAGTGATTGAACATTGACCTAGGAACCAAGAGGTTACGGGTTCGATTCCTGGTCAGGGCACATGCCCGGGTTATGGGCTTGATCCCTAGGGCAGGGCATGCAGGAGGCAGCTGATCAATGATTCTATTTCATCATTGATGTTTCTATTTCTCTCTCCTTCTCCCCTCCTCTCTGAAATCAATATATATATATATATATATATATATATATATATATATATATATATATATATTTTTTTTTTTTATTTTATTTTTTAATTTAGAGCCGAAATCTGTTTGGCTCAATGGATAGAGCATCAGCCTGCAGACTGAAAAGTCCCAGGTTTGATTCTGGTCAAGGGCATGTACCTTGGTTGCGGGCACATCCCTGGTGGGGAGTGTACAAGAGACAGCTGATTGATGTTTCTCATCGATGTTTCTAATTCTCTATCTCTTTTCCTCTCTGTGAAAAATCAATAAAATATATATTTTTTAAAAATTTAGAGATACAAACGAAAGTTTCTATTATTTTACTTCTTTCTAACCCATTATTTATGATTTAAAAAAAATGAGTGGCATATTTTAAAAATTAGTAAATTTAAAGAAGGATAAAATAATTTACATCATTGACATTTGCATAAATTATCCAAGAGTTGAATGATTCTTGTACCATAGTTAGTCCAGCTAAGAGCAGAAGAAAGTTAAGGTTTATGTTCCTAAACAGATTCAGTTCAGACTTACTACTGTTCATGAGCATAGACAATTGCCCATATCAAAAATTTAGTTTTCTTACAGTCTACACTTTCATGCATTATTCACTGATACTCTTTAATTGCTTTTTCCTCACGACTAACCAACTTGCAAACATTTGGGATGTCCCAAAGTTATACTGCCTGCCAGTTTAATTTTGACCTCAACTTTATCTTTGTAGAGTAGTATTTGCTAAGACAACAATTTGAATACTTTGCATGTCCTTAGCCATATTTATGTTGCTGCTGTTTAAATGAATGAAAAAATGTAATTTCTAGTGCCGTTGATATAAAAATGCCAAGTCATCAAAAAAAAATGTGGCTAGTTGACCTCAATTGTAATCCTTTTTAACAAAAAGCAGATTAACTGAAGGTTGAATAACAAAAGGAAAAAAATCACATAGAAGAAACAATAAAAATGCATTGGGGAAGATATTTAAAAGATAAGATACAGTGTTGCAAATAATATTCCATTGCATAATTCAACTCTATGTAAATCCTATACATAGAAAACAATTGTCTGTACAAAAATATGCAATATGTTCTTACATAAATATTGGAGAAGATTATTTATCCTCCCTTCTACTTTTGGAGCACGTTCCAAATTTTCTACCATGAGTGTTTTCCTGGCTGTTGCACATTCAACCCTATTAATAGTCTGATTTCACTTTTAAGGTAGTCTGTGAACAGATGTTTACTATTTAAAATTATTTAGACTTTGCTGTTTGAGAATTTTCATAACATGTTGGAGGAAAATTTGATAAAAAAATTTATTTTAAAATGAGAGTATCAAAGAAATGTAAATGACGCAAACTGGATATTTGATGATGTTAAGTAATTATTACATTTATACTTGGTTATAATCTTTAAAAAGATCTTACTATATATTTACTTATTTATTTTTATTGATTTATTTTCATCAATTTTTATTGATTTCAGAAAGGAAGGGAGAAGAAAGCGATAGAAATATTAATGATGAGAGAGAATCGTTGATCATCTGCCTCCTGCACATCCTCCCCTGGTGATCAAGCCTGCAACCCGGGCATGTGCCCTGACTGGGAATCAAACCAGACTCTTGAGACCCTTGCTAAGTTTTTCTTTGGTTGTTCCAAATTTTATTTATATTTTATTCATGTAGTTGTTTTAATGGACTTCCCAATTCTTACCTTTTTTCCTACAGTTATGATATATTGGCCCTGAATATGACACTTTCCATAAATTCTGGGACAGAAATAAAGCAAAGGAGTGACCATTTACTGCAGGAATTCATAATTTATGGGATATGAGCTCAAGTTAATGTGGTTCAAAAGAAATTTTAAACCCATGATGACTGAAGGACTAAAATTCTAACAAGCATAAGGGAACCAAGTAAACAGTGTGTGAGATGATAAAGACCAGACAAACAAAAGTAAATCAGAGGAAACCTAAATTGGAGGCAATTGTACAATTCCAAAAGTTCTTAACCTTCGCCTTATAGCGAATGAACTAATAGGTATCCTATGAAGTATTTTGTGAGTTTCTGTGAGGATTATATGAAAGATTGGTGCTTAGGATAGTAACACATGAAAAACACTCAATATTTAGTAGTATTCATAATAATGCTAATTAGTATTAGCATTATTCGTATTATTTCTTTGTCATACATTTATTAGGTACCTGTTATATACCAAGCACCATGCTAGGCACTGGAGATTATTGGAACTCTGGAACAAATTGATGTGGCCTTTGACCTCACAGAAATCAGAGTATAGTGAGCTCTAGAGTCTAGACAATTTCAAACTCTCCCAATTTCCATGCTTTTTTGTTGTTGTTCTGTTGTTGTTGTTGTTATAACTGGAGTTCATAAAGCCATCCATAACAAAGAGGTAATTTTATCTTAATATGTGTAAAATAAAAAAACATTTTCCTAATACTACTAACACGAAAGTTGTGATGCTTGATATAGTCACTGCTGTGGAGAAAAAAAACTAATGCTTTATCTCTTATTACTTTTACCTTCACACACAGTTTAACTTATTTTATAAAGGCTATTAAAATATTAGGCTATTTTCTCCTTCATTAAACATAATTTCCTTTAATTTTTCATTAACAGTTTGCATGCTGCCCTTTTTAAAGATTAAATGGAGCTGTTTTGGGTAATCTAGGGTTGAGATGTTTATCAATATTTTCAACTTACATTGTTTTATTTTCCTAATTGAAATCTTTTTTCCTTTTCTTTTCTTTCCTTTCCTTTTCCTTTTCCTTTTCCTTTCTTTTGCCTGAATGTGACTGACCAAGAAGTTGATATGTATTAAATGAATACACTTGAGTACACCAATGTGAAATTAAAAGCCAAGAATATCTATACTAATAATAGGGGAATAAGCAAATTGTCCAGGACACCATCATAGTAACAATAACAACCAAATAGCAGGCTGTGTGGGGTGACCAGGCTGGCAGGGGGGAGTTGGGGGCAACCAGGCCAGCAGAGGGGGCAGTTAGGGGCTATCAGGCTGGCAGGCATAGGCCGTTATGGATGATCAGGCTGGTGGGGAAGGCAGTTAGGGGTGATCAGGCAGGCATGCAGGTGAGCAGTTAGGAGCCAGTGGTCCCAGATTGTGAGAGGGATATCCAACTGCTGGTTTAGGCTTGATCTCTAGCAGTCAGACATCCCCCGAGGGGTCCTGGATTAGAGAAGGTGCAGGCTGGTTTCAGCGCCCCCCCCCCCCCCCCTGCACAAATTAGGTGCATGGGCCTCTAGTGTTATCATATAATAGGTATCTCTAGACAGCACTTCTATCTTGTTTGATTTTTTAGATTGTGAACAAGGATTACTGTTATAATTTAATAGAACACCCCCAATTGTGTCATTTTCTTTGCTAAACCTTTAACTTCCTATTAATTACCAATAACATACATTCAAGAAATTTCCCATGAATATTAAGTGTTTTATCAACTCTCCCCTAATCAGAAAGAAGAAATATGGTTTTATGCTATGAAAATAAGGAACATAAATTAAGAGGCCCACTTCCTGAAAAGTTTTGGAACACCTTAAGGGAGAAACCACAATAAGATATTTGTTTACAATTTTACAATTAGAAATTAAATCATCTACCCAGAAACTTTACAAGTAGTAGAATAAATATAAAAACAACAACAAAACACAACTTGAGGTTCCAGTCTATTAATTTATTCCATTATCTTATTTGAACTTTAATGAATATATTTACTACCTTAGGTTCCAAGAGAAAAATTGAATATGTGTGTAACAAGATTATTACAAGGAAGAGAATTTTTTAGAAAAATAACAAAACACCTTTGTACCATCTTG